GCTCATGAAAGGGGTACAACTTCCACTCGAAGTTGCTAAGCATATGGTGGAGGGCAAGACCAGCTGGTAGACAGTGCGTACTGAAACAATGGCACAATTGCCAGTTATTTTTACAAGGCTCAAACACTGAATAAGGGAATATTTTGTGGTAGACATTGATTGTTGTGTGACGAGTCCAGTTATCGTTAAAGCTTTGTGCACCTGTTTTTGAATGATATTGTAATTTGATGCAAAGGCATCTCCTTTTGCCCGCCTCTAGATCTTCCGTAATACAGCATGGACCTTACTTTAAAAACGCTATTTTCGCCTGGATTCACAGTTCTCTGTTTGAATTCGTTCAAATTTAAGGAAGATTATTTTGTGGCTTTTCTATGTTCCTTCTTTTCTTAACATGATGTCATCACGACTTATAATACTTCTTGCAATAAATTTGGTGCATGTGTAATTGTTTATGATACATTTATTGTAATTAATTTTGTTATCATCATTAGTTATTATTCTTTATTGAGTTTACAGTTTTACTTTTATGTGATTACTATGATATTATCCGATTTATCTGGTGGAGTTCTCAATTAACGTTATAAAAGAATTTATATGCTTATTGCAGAGTTAATCGGGCGGTGAGTTCGTAATTTTTGTAAAATTAAAATGTTTCAAGTGTAAAAGCTAGACTCTCCAGTCTGCTCTACAAGGGTGGGGATATCCTCTCTTAATCTCAACCTCGTCCCCAGGGCTTTTTCCTTAAAAAATGGGTGGGGCCACCCATTTTTTTTAGGGAAAAGCCCTGGGGACGAGGTTGCTCTTAATCTATTTCCTCATCAAACTGATTTTACTGGAACCCAGGGGAGGTAGGGGAGGTACTCCCATGAATTTAAAGATGAGACAAACCCAAATTATGAGACCCAATTCCAACCTCGTCCCCAGGGCTTGTCCCTTAAAAAAATGGGTGGGGCTTTTCCCGCCCGACCCATTTTTTAAGGGAAAAGTCCTGGGGACGAGGTTGACCCTATTCAAAAGAAAAACTACAAATTCAACCGTAACACACTTGTAAACCTTTGTTAAATCGATCTTCTGATACTCTAAGGACTAGTTTTGTTTCGACGAATGATTTGTTGCTCATTTGGCTGGGCATTTACATGATGTACGCACTTGAATCTTAACTGATACAATTCAGGTACCCTATTCAATAATGAAGATCACACCAGGAACGCAATCCCAACACCCTATTTAAGAATCGAGACCTTCAAAAACCATACCAGCGGGCGGCACTTACCTATCTAGCCCATATATGGGAGTAAGTGGAATAAGTGCCACTGAAATGGCTTGTACTTTTACTTGGGATGCTGTTCCTGTGTAAACCAATATAAAAGCCTGAGGAATAAGGAGGGGGGGGGGAGGGGTGAAAAAAAAGAAGCGTGTGCATTTCTTTTTTAATCCACAACATTTTTTACACAGGTGCCCTTTATCACGATTTAATTCGATTACCCAATTGCTTCAAAGACTGAGGAAAGCACTCCTTACTGTAGTAAGAGACTTGCAGTGTTTATTGATGATGGAATCAGCTAGTCAATGCAACAAAAATGTGTCACTTATTCGAGTATAATATTGTCTGTGCATGTAGGCGTCTTTTACTGCCTCGTGCTTCACATCGGAAGGGTTATATGATCTTATAGAGACGTCTGCTTGGCAGGCTATTATAATTAAAAATGCGACGATAAAACCGTGCAATGTTTCTATCGTTCGATATCCATTTAAAAATTGTATCTATTTATAGCAATAAAGGCGCTCATCAAATCGACGAGTAGCTTTTTCCTTTAACCATACGATGCGCGACACCGAACGGCAAGCTGACCCCCTTCATAAGTAGGGCTGTGATGCTCTTCATTCCATCAATACAGGCTTCAAACGGACATAGGCAAACGTACCAACCAGCGCAGAAGAATCCTATTGGCCAGGCCAAAAATATAAGGACAAGAAACCACGCGATTGCCCATAGGATCTGTTTTCCAGTCATCTTGAGTGAAAAGGTCGAACTGCTACTTCTTCTTTTGCAATGAGGTTAACCTCCGGTCCAAGCGAGTCAGCTATGGATTTTTTTTACCTGTTTCACGTAAAAATATGGAAGGACAAGCTTTAATATAAAGGAAATTCACAACAGCTAACTAAAGGATAAATGGCCTAATGCCGGAGGGGGGGGGGGGTGCAGTTTCATACGGGCAGGCTCCGCCCCAGGATCCAACTACTTACCCTTTTATATACCATTTTTTGAAGAAAAGGTACCCCCCCACCCCCCCGCTTTCGTATACCTTCTATTGACAAATCCTTCCCCCTTCACATACCTAGATTAGAGCTTTGCATCCCTAAATGTGCTGTCTTTGAAATGTGAAGTAATCACAAAACCAGAATGTTTTCTCGACTTTTCCACAGCCATACAATACATCTGATAGCTCTGTTGGGCCTTTGAAAAACCGAAATGACAGATTTCCCTGCCCTTTCAATTACTTCATCTAATCCCTAACCTTTGGGGTACCCCTTTCGAGCGGAGCCTCCCCGTATATGCCATTATAGGGAGTACCCGCGCCCCGGGGCCTAATGTCACCCTGTCACAAGCCTCATTAAAGCCCCAAAAGAGACTCAACTTCCCCGTTCAAGTACATGTTTTTAAAAAGAGCGTTTCAAGTGCGTTCTGATAGGCTAACTGTGGATATGTTTTAGTTCCTGGTTCCTTCGATGCAATGCGCTCTCATTAATTTTTATCATATTAGTTTTAACTATTAATCATTATCATAATTTAGTTATCATCATTAATATTAATAACTCTTTCGTCAGGTCATATGAAAATCATCGATAAACAGGTTTTGAACCAAAATAAACGTAAAATTGTCGCTTCACGAAAAAGCTATTTCTGATCATACTGTTATTGTCTATACCTGATATTACATGAAAACCTATGAGTTGAGCAGCAAAGTCATTTCTGAGAAAAGCTCTTAATTAGGAGCCCTCGGAAATACATAAATCACGAGTTTAATATTAAAGTTGAGTAATCTTAATGCTAGTCCATATTTTTAAGTTTCCGTTACCTAAGGTAAGCATAAAATAGTAAATTTCACCAACCTTTTTTTCTCTCTCCTTGTTTAATTAGAATTTTCACACAAAAATCTGGAACTCGGGTTTTATGCCATGAAAGAAGCGTGATGTGATGTTGCTGAAGCTCGTCTGGGCGAGTTGCGAGTCACGAGTTTATGTTGTCTGTCATCACTGAGGACGTAAATGTTGTCACGCAAGTGCTAAAAGTTAGTATATGTTTAAAAACGACATGGATGCTAACTTGAAAATAAAAAAAAAATCTCGCTGAGTTTTAAAATTTCACATGACTTGAAAAGAAAGAAAGGAAAAGAAGTTCATCAAGAAAGTATTTCGCTTTATACCTCATTGAAGATATGTAGACACTTTGCAAAAATATCGGGTTGAGTTTGAGAGAAATTTGCGTAAGTTGTACAGGACCTTCAATTTCTAGCCTCCCACGTAGACGTTCTTGCGACGCGTTCCTGCCCCACGCGTGACGAGCCCCTAAAGGCTACGTCAATTCTCGTTTGATGGAATATTGACAGTTGTGTAACAAATTGATCATCGCGTGACACATACAAACCAGGAGTACAAATGTAACCCACTAAACCTCCGAAAAAATCGAGAAGAAGCTGCGCTGATTTTTTTGTGCTTCCCTTTAAGACCCATACTACGCGCCCACGAAAAAGACTAAAACGTTTTTTTAACGGCCTAATCACCATGTTTTCACCAGGGAGTATATGCATTGCCATTCTTTATTCAGCATGAACTGAAAAGTATAAGCGCTATATAAATATTTTATTATTATTATTATTTATTATCATGAGCAATTGATTTTGCATACTAGTAGGGTAAAATACAATATCGCTGAATAATCAACTTGCGTGTGTGACTGGGCGTTGAAGACAGTCTCTTGAAAGACCTCGAACTGATCTCGCACGACCACCAGGGAAAATTTAAGCTGACAGTAAGAACGTTCTGGGCAACTTCGGAGAGGCAAAATAGACTACCACAAAGCGGAGTTCAAGGGCATTTTTACAGTAATAAAAGGACAATAAACAATAAATCACAAATCAGTCAAAATCAGAATAATTTTATTCAAGGCACACGTGTAAAGGGTAGATTTCTATGTAACAATTAAGCAGTGAATATTGAGTCGATGGGTACAATTCTTTACCTAACGAACCGCCATAATTGTGATATAAGCAGTGTCTGACAGCATATAGTACCTAAAGATTCAGTGAAGCAGCACGAATTCAGTTCCAGTTTCGGTTGAACGAACAGGGCTTTTCTATATCAAACAAAACAACGTACATCGAAGCATTGATCGCATATCGTAGACTAGCTATTGATTTCCAAACTTTTCCCGTGTTATACAGTTAAATGACTCCAGCAATATTAAAATGGCCCATGCTACAAAAACAGGATAATGTGATCCAACCAAAGCAGTTATATAAAAGGTCAAGGCGTATCTTGCGTCTTTCGTTTACCATCCCTGCTTTCCCTCGACCATATGCTGAGCTACTTCCAAGGGTAATTTCACACCACGCATCAACAGCTCCGTCAGTCCCTTCATGGCATCTACACAGGCTTCGAACGGCGACAGACAGACGTACCAACCCGCGCAAAAAAATCCGACGGGCCACGCCAGAAACCATAGAACAAGCAACCAGATGATCGCCCACAAAACATTCATCTCTAACGAAAACAATGGAATATTAGACTGAGACGTCCTGTGTGAAGTGTACTTGATTACGCTAATTTCAAGGACTGACTTATCGTGATCCAAACCAAAAGAGAAAATACTTACCGATATCAATCCAATTTCAAACCAACGAGCCCCTGGCGATGCAGCGACGTACGCTTTTTGCGATGGTCATGTGTTGTAAATCGTGAGTGAATAGTACGACGAGTACTGGGAACAAAGAAATTAAGTCACGCTCGTTCTTTCAGGGACGATGGCTTCATTCTACTACTACGACCAGAATTATTTTCGTTTTTCCTTTCATATTTAAATTTTGTAATCCCAGTGAGGTTTGAATAACAAAAGCCTTAATTTGCACAAGAAAGCAAAACCCTGAAGGATTCTGCTCGTAGTAGTATAATGATGCCATCATGCAAATGGCCTATTGTAAAATCTTTGCATCTTGCAAGAACCACCGGCTGAACCACTTGGACAAATAGCAGCGACGTGAAGCGTGATCTTGGGGATCTTGGTGAAGATCAGGAAGAGCAATACAGGCCCGGGGGGGGGGGGGGTACTTTACGACTTTTGGGGGTGGGGGTGTGCTGCTGGGACCCTGGAACACTTAGCCTATACCAGAGCTAGTTCAAGTAAATTTTGCTACCCTATACGAGACTAAACTCCCCAAATCCCCCTATCCTAGAGTAGCTGTTTTCCAGAAACAACCGAGGTCACTAGCACAGTCCAGCCAAAACAGCCAATTTGATTTTTTTATATTCTTGAGTGGCAATTCCCGGTTTCTCCTAGTCTAGACTAAAATCTTCAGCCAATTGATCAGTTTAAATGGAAAATGATATCCTCTTCTAGACCCAAACTCTCTGATTTATATACCTTATGCTGAAAAACCATACCCTTCACAGCGGCAAATACCTATCTAGCCCATATATGGCAGTACCCCCTCCGGGGATACGGAATGTACCGTCCTTTATACACTAAATGAAAGGCTACCTTTTCTACTAGAAGCTTTTGCCCAGGGTTTTGCCTAACCCCCGTAATACTGGGGAAATAGGGAACTTAAGCAACGACGATTGCAAAGACAACGAGAACGGCAAAAACCAATAGGTTTAGATTGGCTTTGGACATGCATCACCCCTGACTACTACGTGAAAGTGCCAAATTTCACGTTTTGTCCCGGAGGGGAACACAAACAACAATTTTCTTTTTCTTTTCCTGAACTTTGGTACAATCCTTTAGAATTCAACTCCAAAAAAATTTGCCAACATTTGACGAATTAAATGAGACTGAATAAGCGCGATAAAGTTTGAGGCAGCGCCAATTCACTTTTTAAGAGAGGTTTTCGACGCCGTCGCCGTCGTCGTTGCATGGGCAAGAAAAGAAGTATGCGGCAAAAATTCAGGTTCACGTTGATCGCTAGCGTGAGTTTTTGCCATCATGATCATTTGAAAGGGAAATCTTTGCATCGTCTGAAATAAGGAACGTTATTAGCAAAGAACAAAGACAGATCTCAGTCTCAGTACTGAGCAAAAGCTCACAGCTCCTCCCCTTATTTGTAACGTGAGCTCTGAGAAACAACAACCGCATGGCGAAGAAATATCAAGGAAAGTTGGTTATCTGATGAGATTCCGTTGTTGTTTATGCGTTCAGTTCTATTATGCTTAATACCGTTATAGCAGACTACTTTTGCTCTTTTCGAAATTATATTTTAAATTGAAGTTGTCTTTTGCGAACAAGAAAGCAAAAAAGTGCCACCGGAAAGACTGGACTGACAAGGGATGGAAAGAGCAGTGAAGGGAAAGAGTAAATGTCCCGCTCATTCACCCCTGTAAGGCAAGGGCTAAGCTTTTTTCTTCTTTCCTAGTCCTAATAGCGAAATAACGCAAAAGAAATACCTGGTTAATTAATCATAATGCGACCTGGCGACCAGCGCGGTCTAGGATTAGGTTTTAGCCGCTAGCGGTAGCACGTTACCGTTTAGCGAGCGGAAGCCTGGAAGAGAGATGAAAAATATTGTCAAGACTCTCTCGATCTCTCAGACGGACACGTAAAGAGAGGTGTCCGTCTTATAGAGAGTCAAATAAAGGAAGTAAAGAAAGGCAGGAACCAATTCTAGGTGTCCGTTTACAGAGATGTCCGTCTTATAGAGGTGTTCAGTAAGTGTGAGTCGACTGTATAGTTATAAAACGTCACAATCCTTTACTTCAGTTAAAAACTGAAAATCAAATACCTAAAGGTCGAGATGAATTGCTGGAACATTTCGTTTTCCCATGTCCTTGTACCAAAGGTTTCGTCGTCCTAAGTCAAAGAAGTTGCTCGAATCTACTCGTACCTCTTGAGTTTGTTTGTTTATCAGTCCTGTGACTGACAAATTAAATCGGATTTTCCAAATCTATTACTAAGAACATGCACGACTTTTGATTGTTCTTGTGATTTTCGGATAATTTCATAGGCCAAAATACTGCCGTTTTTGTATAGCTTAGCTTTTCGAAATGTTTATTCCAATACTTATGAAGATCTTCCGTTTCCCGTCACCGACTTGAAGCTCTCCTCCTTAACGACAACGAGACGGATTTCTTCCTCTCTTCTGTAAAAATAAAAGCAGTTTATTGATCTGACACTACAATTTTGTGCAAACATGCCATTTTGAAAAAAATGGCTGGGAGCTCCGAAAAACCAGTACTTTTTTTAATGAAATGCAAACCAACTATGTGCAGTGGAAATGGAATTTATCGCCCCATGTGTGGAACTGTGGATACCGGAATCCGGAAATTATTGCTTGTCACCCAGAATCCAGGGCTTTGGAATCCGGAATCCAGCGGAAATCGATAATAGCAAACTCATGCGTCCAGTCGTCTTTTTGGGGGACCAAGCAGCGAGGTCTCCTTTATTATACAATTCCCACAAGAGCGGAGTCTAGTAGTCGAGTCTAGGTAATGATTGAAATCCGGAATCCAATTCTTACTGAAAAAGGAATCCAGGACGGATCAGAGCCGAGTTTAATAAATCATCTTGTCTTGTCTTGTACCTGAATCGGGGGTGGATGCGGAATCATGAATCATAGTTACAAAACATGTAAGAATCATGAATCTTTGAATCATGAATAACGAGACTCTGAGAAAAGCTCAACAAAATACACGTATGAGAAAATGATTAAGTCCAGGTGATCAATAGTCTTCGTGAATCATGAATCTGGAGGAAAAGTCTTGTAGGAATCATGAATCTTGAGGCAAAAACGACACGAATCATGAATATCAAGATTCAAATGATTCCGCTTCTACCCCTGAACGTGAAAAACTGGAGCCCACAACATGGAATCCAGCATCCAAACCTCTCTCGGGCTCAAAGGCAAACTCTTATGAGTACAGCAGCCCTTACAAGCTGGCTGCGTGGTTTAATGCTTCCAATGAAAGAAGTGCGATACCTTTCAGCGTGCTACAGTGTGACTACTGTAACCGGGGCCACCAAGACAAAGTTGACCAATATTGGATTGCGGGAAAATAAAAATACATTCCGAGAAAGCTGGCTGTAGGCTAGTCAGCAGCTCGTAAAGAGCAGCAGAAACCGGAAACGGGCTTTGAGAAAGTTTAAGAAAAAACAGTAAGTTACTCCAAGCACAAAATTTAAATATTGATAGCAAACGTTTTTCAAGAAAGCAAAATGTTTCAAAAGACAATCACGTTTGTGTATTCGAAACTTTACATGTAACACCCAGGAGACATATTTGTTTGACCCAAGCGGTTGTTTCGTCATCCGCGAGCAATTTCTTGGCTACGATTGTCGATAAAATCACGACCCCTCCTTTTTAAACTAAAGTTTTCGTTTTTTCTACCGTCATTCACTCTCTTGGGAAACGCGTGCTTTAAAGGTCGCGTCTGCAGGCTGTAGCCCGAGAATCAGGCCTTCCTAAGGGGCTAGGAGAGAGGAGATTTTAGATGGGGGATGGGGGAGGGGGAGAAGAGAAAGGAAGGTTTCTCTCCTCCAGCTCTCTCCCTTTTTTGCTTCCACCTTTCCCCTTTCCCCCCAGAAACTCAGGCTAGCAGGTTGTAATTGGTTGATTTCGATCCATGTTGTTGATTGCAACTTTCCCGGAATGCATTGTTCTTTTTCTGTAATCAACTTTGTCTACGTGGCCTCGGTTACAGAGCGTTTTCATTCACGTGCCCAGCAACTATGCAAATGTATTGGAACAAAAGAAAGTCTTTACATAAGAAAAGAGTTCAACTCCCACAGGATTCGTTTGGGACACCAACATTGCCGCCGTTTCATGACCCTTTTATCGTTTTGGAACACTGATATGGCCGCCATGGCGTCAGGTGAAAACGCCCTACAGTAGTCCAGTATATAGTAGTCGGTCTTGTCGCACTGTAAAAGCGAAACAAGGATTCATATTGAATTTACCTTCAACGCGCTGTTAAGAAAAACTTAAACAGCATATGGACTTGCAAACTTTTTTTTATTGGAACTCACGTTCGCCGACCAAAAAAAAAAAATACAAATAGCGTAAAAAAGTATTGAAAGCCTGTATGCATGTAAAAATTCTTAAAAAAAGTGTACAAAATTTTATTCAAAAGTCCTTGAACAATGAAAAAGATACTTGCATCGTTGAAACTACCTAACAAGTTTTATCGTCAAGGTAATATAATCACTTGCTATAAGCATAAAACTTGATCCTTGTAAGCCTAAAATTCAGCGCCAGCGATAACGATTTCTGACTACTCATGTCAGTATTCGCAGTCAGCTTAAAGCGTTAATACACTTTGTAGTTTTTCTCAATTTAATTTCCGGTACGGCAGAAAAAAAAATCAGCGGAAACATCGCGTTAAAGAAAGAAGTTTAAGTGAAACCTTTCATCTTCCAGTGTGAAAACCAGGCGAGAAAATGTTGCGACTTTAAGAGACGTTTTTGAAACAGCAGCGAAATCTTTCATTCTCAGTAGAGAAGCCGTAACAAATTCCTCCAAAAAATCAGTTCAAAATTTACCATATCTCTGTTGCCATCGACCGCTTAACACTCTTAATATAAGCTGAAAAACTTGTTGAGAAAAACTACGATTTTGTACTGTTCTGCATTTCATAATTTTGTTAACACAGTTAACACAACAACACCTTAATTCTTAAGGTACTCTCGTAATTTTCTCATAGAATAGAATAATCACTAATCATCGGTATCACTTTTTTTAAAAAAAATTAAATGACTAATGTTAAGTACTCGAGGAAAACTAGCGCGTTTCTCCCAGGCGGAGACGCAAAACCTATTAAAACTTAAAATTCACCAAAACAAACTACCAAAAAGGAGAAAAGTTGACGCACGTCAGTTTTAACTGTCTCGTTCGAAGTTGCCTCCCTATTTCATTCTTTGATACCCTAGACCCTGTTTCGCGGGTGCGGACAAAATAATGGCCAAGGAAATGTCGCCGCTCTTTGACTCACTTTGACCCGAAAGTCTCTCATCTCTCCAAATATGTCATGAGAATATTAGGACAACGTTGCCGAAGTCAAAGACCGTTAAAACAGGCTTCTAAGTATGAGGTCAAAACTGAAAGTTTATAAAGATCTATAAACGAGCTAGTTTTTCCTCGAGTACAATGCCCTCGAAAGACGTGCTTAATAAAGATAACACAGTAAATAACCTGACGGGATTTTAATTAGTATTTGCAAAAATAAATACGCAAGTTCCTCTCAAGAAAATAGCACTGCCTAAATAGGCTACAGAAACATCCATTGTGAACGAAATTTAGTAAGCTGCGGCACGACTTCTTGCGGGGGCTTAGTCTGCAAAAGAAAGAAGACAGTCAACATCGTCAGCTGGCGATGGCAACGAAAACACCACCATTAAAACGAATTCGCGTTTTTTCAAACTCTTTCAAGATAATTTCGGCCCGCTTGAAAAGTCAAATGCTGGTGAATTTTCCTGGAGTTGAATTCTTAAGGACCATACCCAAGTTTAGAAAGAAGGAAAAAATCGAATGTTCAAGTCCTCCATCGTGTAGTGATAGCTAAGAAATGTCCTAAAAAGCGTGTTGCACTTTGAACGTGCGTGGATGTTGCACGTTGTTTTGATTATTTTTGTCATTGACGTCCCTTTTCGCTCTACGAAATGGGAAAAAACCAACTCTGGCGGAGATACTTTCCATGAGTCACGGCCAGGAAGTTTTGAGGTAACTCTTCGAACGCGAAAATCCAATGATTAACGAGATACTTGTTAACTTACCTCAGTAAAAATTAATAGTAATAGACACAAGTATTGTATGAAGGCACACAAGTAGTGTATGAGGGCTGTGTTGTCTGCAAAGGGAAGACAACCACACGGTTAGTATTGACCACAGCTGCATGAAGTCAAGATGGAGTCCTCAGGGCGCGTTCTGTGCATCCCTCATCTTCTCTGTGCCTAGCTCAACTGTAGGCTCATAGTGCAGGCACATTATAAAAGGAGCTAATTCTTTTGTGTGGCAAGCCGCCATCTTTAATTCTGAACGGAAGCGCGCGGCTGTAAATTGAGGCTGTATAAAGGAGCAAGTGTGATTACCAGGGTACCCTGAAAAGTGTCTCCTCCCTCCCCCCTTTGAGTAAGCTGCAATGTATCCACAAATGGAGCAAGTTGATTCTTGTGCCACCAGAACATTAGTCTGCTACACAGCCGTTTTTAGTGTCGTCACGCAACGCTCCTCCCCACTAGAAGCGTTGTGTGACGACACTGAAAACGGCTGTGTAGCAGACTACCAGAACATGCGTGAAGAACATGCGAGAAGAAAACCCCATAACGTGGTCATTTTATGCGTGTGTCAAAAGGTAAGAGGAAAGTTAAAGGAGGTTTCATTTCAATGGTCACATCACCTATTTTGTCAACAGACATAAAAATTTTAATATCCTAGATGTACTTCATATATATATATATATATATATATATATATATATATATCTAATACAAACAGTACCATGTGAAAGTACTGCAGAAAAGATTTCATTTGGTGATACCATAAGACTGGAAAGTCAGAGTTATTAATTTATAAACTTTAATAAGCAGGAGTATAAAAAAAAACAGACCTGAACACAGACAGCAGGTAGGCAAGTTTGTGCTGTTGGCACTTGATAGTAGGTTGGTGGCGGAATCTACCCAAAACAAAAAAAAGATGACAACATTTTCATCTGACAGATTTTGCACATTCTTCAGTTGCCCATCATAATAATAACCTGGGATCACTTAATGTAATGGAAACTAGCTAGGGCAAGCTGACTTTCACTGAGACTTCTGGGACTGTTACCAAGGGGAAAGGAAAATTTAACCCTGTAAGTCCCAATAGTGACCATCATCGATTTTCTCCTAACAATATCCATATGTTGCCAAGAGAAATGGTTATGAGAATGAATAAAATGATCACTAAAGAGAAAATGCTTTGATCTGTTTTCAAAGTCTCTCAACTAATTCTTTGAAGAAATGTGTGAAGATCAGTATGGAGAGTTTATATGTGGATATTGGGGCTTAAAGGGTTAAGGGAGCCCTGCAGTGCCCTGAATCTGCAAAATCAAGGGTGCCCAGCATATGATTTACAGTGACTTACTAGTTACAAATAGTTATGGTGAGTCCTGGGACTCATCTTATAAAAAATCATGAGACCATATCCATAACCAATGAGTCCCTGTTGAAAACAACAAGGGGTCATAAATTGAAAGTGTTTGAGCCTTTATGTAACCAGACAGTTAATCTGGAGACAGATGACAAAACCCTTTATTGCAGTTTAGTGAAATTAAAATATAGACTAAAACAAAATAATACAGTCGACAGTCCATACATTGACTCTTGTTTAAACCTATCTACACGGCGGCCACTTTCTTCTGTCCCCAAGGCTAAGGTGGCTGACATGGAGAGGTTCAACTGTATGCATGCTTCTTCAAACAACAGCCACAAATTCACACGAACACGATATTCTACAAAAAAATTTTCAAATCGATCAATGGTTCTTTGCATCCCACGGGACACATTTCATGAATTATTTTGGTGGGACCCAAAGAACCATAAATCAACTGATTTCTTGGTAGACTATCCTGTTTGTGCGATTCCTGTGGCTGTTGTTTAATTTAGTCCCCTCGTTTTCGTTGTTTGAATAGAAAGACTACATTTTAATTTCAGTAAACCGTGATAGAGAGTTTTGGGGTCTATCTTCAGATTAAGTGACTGCCTGGTTACAGTCCCAAGACTCATGATTTTTCACAAGATGAGTCCCAGGACTTACCATAACTATTTCTAACAAAATAACTGAATAGGACAATTGCATGATTAAGAAATTTTACTACAACCACAAGAATCCTTCAGTTTGTTGCTTTCTTGTGCCAATTAGGGCTACTGTAGTCAAATGTTGTCATCGTGATAGTGGCCTGTTGACCCCTGATCTAAATCAGGGTAAAAAGAATATGAAACTTACGGAAACAGGAGTTTGGTAGGTTGAAAATTCATTTGTTACTGGAACCAACACAATCTGCTGGGCCATAACAGCTGTAGAAAAAAAAAAAGGAGTTAGCTACAGTTACAATACCCAATATAATTACATGGGGACGTTTCGCCCCGAGATCCAACCCCTTACCCCTTTATACACTTTTTTTTTTTTACAGAAACAGTACCCCTTTCGTATCCCTTTCACTGACGAATGGTACTCCTTTCACATGCCTAGTTTACAATTTCACATCCGTTTTAACCCCTATGCACTCTCTTTAAAGTATGAATAAATCACAAAACTACAAATTTCTCTTGGTTTTTTCACAGCCATAAAATCCACCTATAGCCCTAAAACTTACAGGTCATAAAACATACAGACCAAAATGACAGATTTCCCGACTCTGTTGTGTACTTTAACTAGTGAAATCCCCACCCTTCTGTATAGTATAACCTGAAGCCCAAAAATAGGTACCCCTTTCAGGCGTAGGCTCCCCGTATACAGTCAGGGTGAGGGGAATAATTATTCCACACTATTCCATGAATAGTTTTTAAAAAAACAATAGTTGAAAAGAGAGTCAAAGTCTTGATACATCTTTTCAGGGTCAAAACCCAGTTCATTTGTTGTACATCTATGAGGGACAGATTTTTCCCAACTAATCGAGGTGCAGATCTAGGATAAATCGTGACCAATTTCCTAAACAAGCACCAAAGGCACAATTAAGCTTCTAGGGTGGTCAGGGGGCATGCACCCCCGAGAAATATTTGGATTTTGTCTCCCTTAAGTCACCTTTCCTGGGTTTCTGAGTAATTCAGACAGGATATTGACCAGAGTTTAACCTTGAAAATTTTTTTCCTTCAAAAATATATTTATTTATGAAAAATCTGACCAATTTTTGAAAAATAGTTGAAACCGGTGTGGATCCATGCCTGCAATCAGAGGTGCTACCCAGATCTTATACGTAAACATTATCGATAGGAGCTTCAGCACTCTTTCCTCAGACATTAATAATGCTTCGAGGGGAAACCAGAGGTGGAGCCACGGATTAACTGCAGGTCTTATAATGAAAACTATACTGTACACTTTTAGCAAATTAATTTTACCTATAAATACTAACCTCCATTTTGTGATGAGCTTTCTCCTGCCAAAAACTGGCTGGATAACTAAAGTTAACACAAACAGCTTGTTTAGTACCAACCTCTAAAAACTTTAATCATATGTGTGCTTATTAATTCTTTTACAATAAAATAAAATACAAAATATACTTAGATAGTCATAGAGTCCTGTTGCGCTGAATAATCAATTGAAGCCTTTTTTTCTATAGAGCTGCAATCAGTTGCAAAAATACTTGAGACACTGTCCCTCATTTTTGCTTAAATGGCCTGTCCATGATCTTGTGCTTGTGATCCCCCCCCCCTCCTCCCCTCAAAGTTGCTAGCAATACAAGCCCATACTTGGTGGAATAACTTAGAATGAAAGGGAAGGGAAGGGGGGGAGGGCCGGTCAGTATTGTATATCACAGACGTGCAACTAGCAGCGATTTGAAGTAACGAAAGGCCGGTTTTTCATTGGAGTGTCTCAACATTTTTGCAACTAGTTGTGGCTTCCCCAGATAAAAAAATTAAGTAAATGTTGGGTTCATTAATGCTCAGGAATCCCTGCTATGTTTACTTTAACAAAAAAAAAAAAAGGGTAAAAAGATCCTTTTTGGTCAAGATGGCGAGCCATTGGTTTCATTCTTTTTTGTTCTTGGACCTTAAATTCCCTCAGTCCATATAAAAAGGCAGAAAAAAAAGACTCCAAGAATCCAACCATCTTGACACACATACACACATACAAATGAATGAGATTTTGGTTCAGGGTTGTCAAAAGTATCCGGCTGCTGGTCAAAATCACCACCTACTTGATTAGTATCGGCTGGCTACTCTGCTTGGCATTTCTTTACGGATGACGTTTTTTAAATAAAATATCCCTGGACCGGCCGCTTACTTTGACAACACAGCCATCTACTTCAAAACTTTCTGACAACCCTGTGGTTGTCAGAACAACAGGGAAACACCCTACTTTTTTGCTTGAAAGGTTGAAGTTATTTGGTTTTATCATATTTTCAAACTGACTCCTGGTCCAAAGGGTAAAGAAAATTTATTTTCCGTTCACCTTGCCTTCTAGTCTACCTTGCCCCCAGTAAAATCTGTAATCTCTGAGACAACATTAGGATGATAAGAGAAATAAAGTATAATAATAATTATTTATTGCTTAAATGAATACCTCCTTTTTTACGGCTTTACGCAGCCTTAGTTTTCTTCCATTTTTATAATCAACTGTTCCCTAAATTTAGAAAAAGTGGTAATATTAGTATTATGTTGCACAAACTAATAAAAACAACTACAAATTAGTTACTTAGACCATGATTTGCATTTTGTTCCAACTTGCATTTAACACAGTGAGCAAACCCCAGCTGGGGTGGGGTTTACTTCCTAGTGACCTATACAGGGTCCCTTATTTAGGGTTCACGTTCATTTGTAGAAGCAAGGGTAGGGAAATCTGTGATTTTGGTCTAAAAGGAACCAGAAGGGCTAAACAGATGCATTTTATGGCCAAAGCCGAGAAGACTGCATAATTTGGTGATTTATTCACATTTACAAGACCAGTGTTCTCCTTCTGAGGCGGTAACCAGTAAAATTTACCACCTGAAGCAACACTTTTTACCAACTGCAACCACCTGAAGGTTTACTAAAATTAAATACCGTAAAATTCGGAAAATAAGCCCCTCCATGTATAAGCCTCCCAAACCGGTACTGCAAAAAAAACCCAGCAAGAGGAGGGCCATGTTCCTCACACCACTACCCCTCCCCCCTACCCCCAGGAAAGTGTGCCTCTTACACACATTTTTGCCATACTGGCCATGAATTGTCCCTAACCTGCTGTGCTAAAATTTAGGGAGAACACTGCAAGACAGTGACTTTCAAGCAGTGAAAAGAGACACAAAAGTTGTTAACTAGGTAGGTGAAAGGCAAGCCCTAGGATTTCACAGTAACGATCCTTTCTGGTACTGGGTTGTTACTGTGGTGTTACAATAACAGAACCGAAAAATTGTTTCCCAGTGACATTTTCAGCCTTAGGGACCAATTTACAGAAATTCACTATTTTTCCACTCAAAAGGTCATTAAGGGGTTAAACTCTGAGGCAGCGCATCCCTGAATTAATACTTGGTTGAATGTCCCCCTGGGTCTTTACGCTGTTTTGTGTTTAAAACAAAAACAAAAAACTAATAAAAACATAGTGTAGTCGTAATCCACCCAATTTAGAATAAACAGAGAGGAATATTTAAAGAACAAAACTTATACCTTTTTTAAAAGTTCATTACGTGCGATGGTTGTCGCAAAAGTGACAAACCCATAGCTGCAAAAGAGAAATACTCAATAATCAGACAAGGCCTAACTGTGAACTGACGGGATCAGTTATTGACAATAAACTGTTAAACTAAGTAAAAATGTTTCAACTGTTATAAAATAATCATCTGTTGCCATGCATGTAAATTCATTTTATTGCTTGACACACTGAGAAGTGTGCCCTTAAGGCAAACATTAAAGCAAAGCCCCCATTCAAAAGCAAGTCGTTTCATGAAAATGCTGACAGCTTTGCATTTGTTGAGTCTTGAGTAGCTGCCTCCCTGCCTTTTAGGAGGTACAACGTTTGGTTTTTGAAGTGATATGATATGTGATCTAGATGAACTGTACATCTGATACTAGTAAGGGAACACATAAACATAGAATAGATGGCCAATATGTTTTTTTTGTCACGACAAATGGTGACTGTGTATGCCCCTCTCCTCCCCTCCTCCTCCCCCACAGTGGTTACAGACTAACAAACTTAAAATTTTCCAACTTTAAAATTACTGTAGTTAGGCCATAACAAACGTAAAAAATTTGTGCATTTAGAAAATTATACTAACAAGAATAAATTTGAGGAAAAACATTGGCCAAAAAGACTCAAGAAAGGACCTTTTATAACTACTTCTGCTGTAGTTTGGCAAATCCCCCTGGGGTGTGGGGAAGGGGAGAATTAGCTCCATGGAAGGTATTATAAAATATTATTATGGTCTAAGAATAGGGAACCACCCTAACAACACATCACAAAATCAGAGAAAGGATCTGAGATTAGGGTGGATCCGAACCTTGTCATCTTGGATTGTATGATAAGGTATTATACCACCCAACAGCTGCCATGTACTTGAGGGCAAAATACATCGTGAGGAATAATCAAACTAACAAGGCCAATTATCACTTTGTGCTAAGCTTGATAACACTCATTTACGACTTCAAGGCTCACGTTTGCCTTTATCCTGGAACTTAAAACTTTGCTACTACGTTCAAGGATACGGAAATACATTTCCCATGTGGCACGTTCTGTGGGCGTTTTAGATTAATGCAAGCTTCACTGTTTGTTTACTCCTCGTTCTAACCACTGGTAATTTAATTAAGTTTGAACCTACTCTCGCAAACATTCGATCATGCAATGTAATGTGGCTCTACAAACGTTTGCGCTAATCAAGAGTGTACAGACATTGAAAACTTCAACATAGGAACCAGACGTTAACGTGCTGCACTCTTCTATTTTCAAAGCCGTAATCGTTTCGTTGCGTTTTGTTTTCCTCGCCAGACGTTCATGAAAGTGCCAAAAAAATTCTAGCAGAAGGCTGTGACTTAGAAATTTAAATTAACTGTAAAAACGGTGATTTCTAAACTTAGTGAGAGCTAATACATTTACAAGAAGCTCAATTCACCTTTCTCCCGACCGAGCGATACCATATCATAATAGACGAAATTTACAACTTCAAAATTATTCAGCCGATACATCTAAAGACGGCTTTAAGACTATCAGAACTCAATTCAAAGAACATTTCTTATCAAAAATGTTTTCGGTAGGAGATGTTTTTCTGTTCAAAAACCTTGCTTTAAAGGCAAGGGATCGATCGATCGCATCAAAGTTCCATTTCATACAAAACCATCCATATTGGCTCTACATGTAACTTGCAAGCAAGGTGGATTTAAAAAAAAAATCATAGCAATAAAAGAATAAGGGAATAAAAACATGGAAACACACTTTTTACTAAATAAGTCAAGGTTTCTAAGTAAGCTTATACGAGAACCAAAAAGATTAGATTGACTTTAAACTTACCCCTTATTTAAACCCGTTTTTCGGTCACAGACTATTCTTACGTCTACAACTTCCCCAAATGATGAGAAAAACGTTTCCAATTCTAGCTCACTCGTCTGGAAAAGAGGGGAAAAAAGCAACAAATGAAATAAAATTAGTGTGACACAAATAAATGTACGAAGTGTTCGTTACTCGAAGCAACCAGATTCATCTGAAAAGCGCGCGTTTTTAGCAAAATAACTACATCAATGGAAATGAAAAAGCTGTGAAACCACTTTTCCTCCTCCACAATGCAAAACATCTACTAGATAAAACAAACAGATTCAAACTTTCCTTTCAGCGAGAATCACATCTTCAAAAGCACTTTTGGCTGACTATGCGATTTTGATAAAATGGGGTTGAAACATGCTGAAAAACATCGCTGTTTATCCTTTCAGCATTTGTATCTGGCAGATTGGCGGTAAAAGCTACTGATACTAAAGTAAAATAAAATGAAAATAATAGAAACCAAAAACAGAAAGAAGCAGAAATGCTTGAAATTGTTCATCTCCTGAGACTACTACAAAGGAGTCATAGTCGCTCATAAATTCAAACGAATAACGACCGCTCTGGAATGTGCATCTTCGGTGGTCGCTTCTACACTTTTCGCGACAAAAATTTTCCTGGAACCGCACGTTTGCAACATCCGTGATCGTCAAGACACAAATTTAAGCCTTCCGTACTATATCAGGAAGATTAAAGCGCAACGCGAACGATGAACCCTCGGAAAAAGATTCGTTCAATGAACAGAAACAGGATAACTTCAGCGAGAAAAGAAGGGTGTAAACGTACCTCTCTTGACAAACCTCCTATGAATACACGGTTAAAGATTTCCTGCCCGTCCGGGATCTAGAGGAAGAGAGAAAACAGGCAGATTTTTAGATTTGACCGCAAAACCGTTTAACAATCAGATCTACACATTTTTGAAACTACTGTTAAAATTGCGCAACACGTCACATGCACACAGGATCAAGCGTACATCAAGGGAAAAAAAAGGCTAATGCATACAATCTTCAAAATGATATCGTTTGCTTATTAAATAAACAGACAGTGGGACACATTTTCAAACAGGAGAACCCATATTTCTCAACTACAAGTGATTATTTCCTATTCTAATCTGTCTAATCCAAAAAAGATGGTTTAGTAACATCGATGATTAGGCGGCGTTATGTTAAAGACGGCGCTAACCAGACAACGCTGGACCATTTTGAGGGCACCTTTTTAGGCGCTTAGGCTTAATTCTTTACACCCCGGAAATCTTAAATACGCAAAAAACAAAACAAAAATACCCAAATTTACTCACGTTTGCTTGCACACTGGCGGTCATTTTAGTTCGTCTGGTTGCTACACGAAATGATTCAGAACTCAAGCGAGCTAGTCTTTCCAACGGCGGTACCGCGCTTTGTGATTGGTTTAAGATGACACGGTCTTATAACGCGTCAGTGCTGGAAACTAACAGAATCCAATACTCCAAGTACAAAGAAAGAAACTTTGAAATAACGCAAAAATGGTCGATCGACAGGGCGAAACGAAAATTCAGATCTAAGCTCAATCGAGGTCAAAGAGGTTTTTTTTTAAATCCACACAAGTGTTTCATATGTGATTCATTCTCAGTGGGCGGGGCACTCAAAATGTCAACTTGCTGAAGAGATAGCCCGCGACAACGCCGTCTATCACTGATGAATCAAATGCACGACGCCCAGATCATAATCTCAAATAAGAGGGCCTTTAAAAAGCCATCAATCAAAACATATTTAAAGCGATTGACTATTGCTGTTCGAAAATCTACTTATGTTTAGTTGATGGTCTGGATTAGAACACCCAGTGCAGTGACTTGAACACGAGAAACCAATTCAAAATTCTACGGAATTAATAAAAACATATCAATAATTTCCTTGCTCGTGTTTCACGTTCCTGAAGAGAAAGTAAACACAGTCCGAACACTCACAAACGTCAAATAGCGAAACTGTTTATGTTGGCGAGACGCCGCGACCTTCTGTTTTCTGCAGCTTTTGTAAATCGCTGTGGCTATATGGCCCGTAACCAGTTTTGTAAATGGCGCGAAAATGTTACGCACAACCATCGCTGAAGGTGTTGGTTGGTTATTTCACTACCAAACACCAAAGAAGTTTAAAAAATATTAGATATAAACGCAATTATATACAGGAAAACTGTGTTATCCGTCATGATCTTAAATATTTTGTGCAGATGGAAAACATCGGCTCTTGAAAACGTTAACTAAAGACTGATCGAAAGAAAGACGACAGCGGTCGGTCACGAAATGGGTGGAAATTACAGCAAAAAATTAATCAACAGAAGATCCTACAATAAAATGACTTAGGAATATAACAAAAAATAAATAAGAATATAATAATATAAATAAGAATAATTATTTAAGAATATACAAAGTGATTGTTTTTGAAAATTTTTGGGAAATAGAATCGTTTTTGCACTCTTATGGGTTCTAAATGGGATTTTTTGTTTACTGTTTTAATAATCTGCCCACATTTGTTTTAGTGTTTCGAGTTAAACAGTCAGAAATGTAGTGTTTCATGTGTTTTTATGAGGTTTTAGCGATAAAACTCCTAAAAGTAAGTGTTACAGAGCTCAAAAGTATGTCATAAATTATCGAGGCAGCCGCTAGACCCTCCACATAGAATTAGCAGTACAATTTCATTAAAACGGAAACTAGTTAAATTAAGTCTGTCATTAGCCCAACCTAAGACAATTAGCGGCTAATCAGCTATGATCAACGCACGTCTGGTTTTTATTTTTTTTTTAATGCTAATCGGTCCTAATCCGTTAACATCAACAACAACTCGTCTCTTACAGTAAAAATTAGAACAGAAGTTTGCTACACAGCCGTTTCAGTGTCGTCTGAGCTTTGCGTGACGACACTGAAAACGCCTGTGCAGAAGACCAGGGAAAGAACGGATCGGTTAAAAAAAAGTATCGGTTCCAGACGAAATCTCTTGTTTACACAGACAAGTCTTGTAATGCTAATTTTCCTCAAATTTCTCCTCTACGAATGTTTTGGACGGCCACCTCTCGCGGCGAAACTAGTGGTGGCGTCTCGAAATGTCGAAACGCGCTAAGAAAAAGATAGCCACGCGCGCGACTGTCAGCTGACGCCCTCGCTTCTCGAATGCCGTAATTCATACGTAGAAGCAAGAGGTTAAGAGATCAAAATAATCTCTTGCTAGAAGAAAATAAGATACCCTAACCTGCACAAAAAAAGAAAGAAAAAAAAAAACCAGAACAAAAGAAAAACCAAAAAAACAAACAAACAAAAAACTATGACAAACCCAAAAAGAACAGAGTTAAATATTTTTGTCTTAATTATTAAGATTGAAACTGTTTTTACGTCAGGAGTCCACTAATCCTGAAAATAGAGAGGTTAAGAGAAACTTTTTAATACGCTAAACGTAAAACGTGAATTTGTACCACGTGAACAACTTTTCCCCTTAATCGTCGTTTACTATTTATCACTTCTACTCAAAAATAAGTAGTTTCACGCCAGTTTTATCCATAAGAATTGTTTTGGACAGTATTTATCTTCTTATTTTCTATTCTGAGAAATTCTCAACTTGAATCTGACGTTTGCCGTTTATACATCTTATTTCCTGCCATACAAAGACATGAATGCCAGATAGAGTGGTAACCTGTCTCTGATGGAAAACGACATGAAGTATTCTGTATTCAATTATCTGGGTAAACAACACTGAACACAACCCGACGTCAGCTTAAATCGCTTTATTATTTCTAATTCTATCTACTACTGTACAGTTTTTTTATACTATATATAATTCAAATAAGTAATTCACACCAATCTCCAGCTATTTAATGAGAAAAAAGGAGAAACACGGCATCCCCCCCAACCCCCTCACTTGACATGCGCCCTATAAAATTCATCCTTCCCGTCATCTAATTTGAAGCAGAAAGGAACCTTCAGTCACTTCTTCCTTTTGCAGCCAACTTACATTACCATCGTCTAAAAGCTCTATCAGGTTATTCGGGGGACGTCCACAGTTGGTGCCCGGGAATCAGTGCCTGGGTATTGGCACAAAATGATGTTCTGTTCACACTTGCGCCCTGCTAGATGCCATTTTGAAACATGAGCTTAGTGCGGAGTACAAAGCAATGGACTGCCCCAGAAATAACTAACAAACCGGTGTGCACACGGCGACCCGGTGCCCACTTTTGTGGGGCACCGTCACTGTGCCCGAATTCTATCGTGGGTACTTGAAAAAAGAATGTGTGTTCACCTTAGTGCCCGGCGAGAACCGTACTCGGGAACCGTGCGCGGATACCAAGTGTGCACGCTGCCCTAGTTATTTCCTCAAAAGGTCTAACGACCTCTGCATTAAAGCCCGATCGTCGCCCGCGCGGATTTCACCTTTTAACTGGATGAGGACATATAGCCAAAAATTTCGGTCGAAATTTCCGAACTTATTTAAAGGCAGGTTGAATGCAACTTTGACTGGTCTCGTTTACTTCATTCCGGCCTTTTTAAAGACGAATGTGACGCTGAATTTTGAAGGGTGGGAAGTTTCAGTCGATCAGCTACAACTAACCGATCTATTCAGTCTTGGACCAAAATTTCCTGTCGGTTATTGTGGTTCTGAAAGCGAGAATGGGTAAATGGAACGGCTAATTCTTCAATTTTTGATAACAGCGATTTACCAGAGAAAAAGAGCGCTTACCATTTGTACGGAAAATCCGGTAATTCAGGAGAGCATTCAAATGGAACAGTTCCTCCCGTTGAAATGTTTTCGGCGGAAAAGGTTATACCTTACGAGGTATTAGCTTTTTCGCGCTTTTACCGGAACGACCGAACTTTTCGGAACCATTTGTTTGGATTACCAGTGCCAGGCAGCCAGGTTTTCTCTAGAGAGAAGGTGACAAATTTACCGGTATTTTGTAAATAATACACTACACCGAAATTTTGGTACAAATGGTAATCGCTCAAAGTGATACCCAACCGAAATTTGAATGCGGATCGCACCCACAATGTTATTAAATAAATATGCTTGAATGAGGAGGCGGGCTAGTCCAGTTACTGAGAATTCGGTTTTCTTTTGCCGGGACTTTTCGATTCTTTTTTTTCTTTCCGTTTACAAAGTGTTTCGTGCTTTGTTTTCTGGATTCCACGACGGTTTAACACGCTAAAATAAAATACGACAATTACAGCAACGAGCTTAAGTCTCCGACATAGACTTTCTGAATCATTATAAACTGCCCACCTGCCCCTCCCCTAAGCCAACATTTTGCCGTAAGTGAGAAGTAAGTGTTAATGTTGGCTTAGGGGAGGGGTAAGTGGGCAGTTTCCCAGAAACGTATTTTTAAATGTCTGTTGATTTTTTTTTTAATACGTAGTTACCATTTTGCTAAAGAGGAGAATGATTTCCTCCGTATTTCTCTGGAATTCGACGTCCTCTTTCAGATAACAAAGAACAACGAGTCCATCTCGTTTTTGTAATGTCCTACGCTAGTGATTTTGCGTGCAAAAGACTTTTTTTAAAATTGTCTTGTCCGTGATTTGATTTAGCAGGCATATCTACCATAACCGCACGAAGAGAATGCTACCCTGCCTTTCCGCTCTCCAGTGTGACTTTGTTCATCAAATGACAAATAAGAAAAAGCCAACCTTGTGTTACTGTCGTCAATCTTGTCACGTATAATCTTTGCTCTTCTTTATGAAGGAATCCCAATCTTTGATAACGTATGTCTTTCTTGGGCGTTTAGTGCTTGGAAATAGGTTGGATAACATTGCTGCTGCGCAAATGTCTGGAGAAACTTGATTAAATGATCCTGGAGAAAAAAAAATGAAAAGTTCAAAAGGAAAATTGACTATAGTGTTATCAATGCCATGAGCTGATAGTCAAGGGCACTAAAATAAAAAATTTGTTCCAATAATAGATATTTAACTGTAGAAATTTCGGGCCAGTTGGAAAACCAGGACTGGACTCTGGACTGGACTCTGGACTGGGCTAGACTGGACTCTTTTTATTTGTTTTTTGTCCAATGCTTTTTAAACCCTCTACCTCAATAAAAAGAAAACAAAAACAAAACAGAACAAAAGAAAAAAAAAAACAATCCAGTCAAGTCTAGTCTACAGTCCAGTCCAGGTGGCCAAAATTTCTAAGAGTAAGTACTCTCTTGGTACTTCATAAGTGTTCCGTTCATCTCAGACTCTTGTTACGACTTTTTTCATTCACTTCACCCACGATTTTCGGAAGATGGCTTCTTCACATTTTACTTCACAGATCTGGCCATTTTTTTTCTGCAAGAATTTGTTTTGAAAATAGTGATGAAACAACCGTAAATCCTCTTTTAAGCATCCCCCCAATTAGATCCAAACGACTAATAAAATTCACTACCTTCTCTCGGATTCTGCTAATAGGCAAGTTGTAGTTAGTTTTTAAGGTCAACAAGCTTAAAGTAGAAAACATCGCGTTTAACATACCTGTAAATCCAGAATATAGATAGGATCATTCTTTATCTCTGGGTCAACTTCATCTTCATCACCTATATCATCCATATCAAACCCTAAACAGCAGCAAATCGCGTCATGAGTCCACACTAAATTTACAAACCAATAGAGTG